ACCTCATCCCCCAAAATTTTCTATAAATTTTTTTTACACCTAAAGCAGGTGACATTTTCTAGGTTTATATTTAAAAATCTACTGTTTACTTTACCACTTATTATGGTAATTAAATATTTGTATATAAAACTTATTAATAGATTATTTAAAAGATTAGGTACTTATTATAAACATTTTACCGACACCACTATAGGCCTAAACCGCACAAAACTTAGGAAAACCTTTTAAAACGATTTGCAAAAGTTTTAACAAAGTAACTTGTCAACCACCCAAATGAAGATTAATATCAAGATGAAATATCATTTCCCTGAAGTTCTTGAATGCCAGAGACATTAAACTAATATTTCCCTCTCGGTTATAAATCATTATTCTCTTTTTACTGACTCGGTTGAACTTATTGAACTTTGGAGCTTTATACACTAAATAACTCTTGCCTACCTATTATAGTTTCACTGGACAGTAAAAATGTCTATACAAAATAATGAAATATCCTACTACTAATAGTAGGCTTAATACGAATTGACAGTTGAACACAGCGTATATTTTTTAGGCTAGGTAGGTTAACTAGAACTATTAAAATTTTCCAGTGTAAAATAATGTTAAACTTAGAAAGAATTAAACCTATATCACTCATTTACTAATCCGATTAGTAGGTTTCATGAGAAACTGATATTTAAAACGTTCCAATGCAATATTTAGGTACTATACAATATATAGTATATGGTTTTAAAAAGGACAGCAGACGACCGTATCAAAATCGTTTAGTATATTTATCGTTACCTAGTTCTATATTTGACTCAATTCACATTGGCTTTAGTTAAGCCATCAAGCAACGAGTATTCAAATTGTAGCACACCTTACATAGACGTACTTTATAGAATTAATAAATGTACCACAATTAATTATTCAGCTTAGGCACATTTATTTTGTCAAAAGCTATTAGTTTAATTATGTTTAATATCCTAATACTTTAATCAATATTTTTGTTGACTGTGTTATTTTGCAGTTATGATTTGCTTACAAAATCTGTGAAAAGCTATCCAAATCCCATATTTATGCATATGCGAGTGACCAAACTCATGTCTGTCACTCAACCAGAGCTAATAACAACTGGACTAGGATCACAAAGATATTTTACCATAAAAAAATTATCAGAAAAAGTCAAACTACACAATATAAAAATACGTCAGAAGAACACATTTTTACGAGTTGTGTAGTAAAATTTCAGCATGATGTTCGGTAACGAAATCTCGCTGCATGCAATGTATCATACAAACCGCTGAGGGACAACAACATTGTTGTGTTCTGATTAAAAACTAACCAGACTTTGACAGATGTGGCTACCACCTGCGGAACTTATCGTGTATTGCTTTACAGCCTTTGCTTTACAGCATTTGCTTTACAGCCTTTGCTTTACAGCCTTTGCTTTTTGGCTGTGTCAAACACAACTGGTTGAAGATTTATATTTGGATGAAAAAATACTACGCAGATTACACTCTGTGATTGAGCCTGATAACGAATTGAGTTGCAGATACATAGCTATATTTACAGTTGTTTTTATATTTGCTGAATTTTAAATTGTGACAGTTTAAGGTGTACTTAGAAGTTTTGGCAAATGCATTTTTCTGGTAATATAATTGACATGCAAATCAAGAAGTAAATAATATTAATTACTGTAGGGCCAAATTTGAAAGTTTTTATTAGACTTGAGGTTGGGAGTTGTATTGTTCAGGAGCCATGTACTAAATACCATAGGGGTTTCTCAGTGGACAGTCATACCTTTTACAGCAGTTATACCTAACTGATTTTTACTACTGATTGTCATTTTAAAGCTTATGCCCTCGGGAAGTGACGATTTGTATAAACAAGATGATTTACTCAAGGTCTTCACCATCCAGAGATTCATTTATTTATAGATTTAGAGTTTGTTTTTTAAGATACAACTAAGCTGACCAACTCTCAAGTGGCTGCTAAAGAACCTGGGGCTTAATAGAGGAATTCTTGTCATTCAGTTCAATGTATAACAGTCAGATATTATTAAACTAATATTGCAAACATTAGTTGAAAAGTTTACGGAAAAGTTTCGTATTTGAATTCCGAATAGGCTTATTTTTTTATCACTGTGGCCTGTTTGAGGCAGGTGAATCCCTCTTTACGGTACAGATAAAAAAATACAAAAAATATTCATTTTAGTTTTGATAACAAGTTTTAAACCCTATTAAAATGTACAATTCGCGCAACTCATATTTGCAAATCCAGTAAACATTATGGAGTGTGTTTATTTCTTCCTTTTGGAACACTTTTCAACATTTTTAATTCATTTCATATTCTGAGGGGTGAATATGAATAGGAAACACATATAAACGGATCAGGGTTTAAAAATGATGTTGTTAATATAATTTTTAATTTTTAAATAGCTAACGTATTCATGTTTTTTATTAGGATCTTTCAGCATATTTTATCTTTTAAACCACGCATACAATACGTTACATAATCAAAGCAACAACTAGTTACACATTGCTACGGAATATACGATGTACAAGGTAAACAAACCACAATGGACAGTTATTGCTGGTGAATAGCATCAAGTGACCGGAAACTTGTCATGAACCTCGGAGTCAACCTGTATTGTTATACAATGTAGCGGACAAAACAGAAACTACCCCTTCCTTCCTGCTGACGATAAATGCAGGGTCCGAACTGATAAATAAGCTACAATGTTTTAGAAAATAAATGTTTATGCAAATTCACTTCCAACAATAATGATGTTCCTCGGTCAAGTGTATTAATTTTCTGACGTAAAACTTCCGCAATTATTTCACCGTTACCGGTTGATTTGTTTGATTAGCAAAGGAATTTGAGTTAAAGTACTCATGTGTGATATGTATAATATTATTTTGTAATAATAACAATCAAACGTATGTTAACTCAAATAGATATATAATATATTTGCTCTCAAGCCATAAATAATGTGTACTGTATAAACAGTGTACGTGCTGGTAAATATTTAACCCTATGTTTGATAGAATGCCCGATTAAAGTGAAATGCAAATACTTAGGCGTTTGGTGGAGTTCTTGGAACCGTGTTGTTTTTGTGATTCGTTGATAAAAAAATGTAAACGTGATAGATTTGCAGAAACTTATATCTTTTTGTACTAGGGCGCTAGGCATAGGCAGCAGCCCCGGATTGTTTTGACATTACTTCAGGCTAGACCTATACTCCGTTCAAACAGCCCTTGGGCCCTCAAGGGTTTCCATGGGGTCTCCTAATCCGTCAGGTGCCACGGCTGTTTGAACGGAGTATAGAGGTTATGGCATTATCATTTAGCTAAATTCCATCGGTTACTTGGCAGGATTTGAACCTGGGACCTCAGGGAGCGAAGTCCTGCGCTCTAACCATTATACCAGCTCGCTCCCCCTTGCAAGAACTTTGCTAAACTAGATGAATGTAAAATCAACGATTTCGGAAGTTGGTTCCTTAAGCTTTAAGGATTTCATTGGCTGTTCATATGCAAAGGATCTTGGTGGGTAGATTAGTTGAGTTATTCTCCATACAACTCCAAATCCGAATATAGCTCTGTGTACTGTGTGCGATGCTGGGGAGAATCTCGAGGGCGTTTCTGGGATTCTATAATAAATCAGTGACAAGGGTGCATTTCATTATCATCTTGTTATTTGGTAAATCGCTCTTCTGATTGCTAAACTTTTTATCGTCCCTTGAAGTGGTTTTCTATAGTGATCAATCAATCCCCCCCCCACAGCAAACCTGCTGACTTAACTAATTTCCATTTACCTGGTAGGATTTTCACTAATATAAACCCTTGAAATTGCCAGATTTATTTTATATTTAAATAACGTTTAGTTAATGGAGTTCATAGGTTGGCCGATAAAGGGAAGATAATAAACATTGTTTGTACTGAAAATTTAATAGCCTAGTGTAAAATAAATAAATTTATCCATACAAAACTACAGTTAACAGTTTCTACATGCTCCGTAGGTATGAATTGGGAATGCTAATTTTACAGTATTTTGGAATCTAAAACAATTAGGCGTACAAAAACCTTTCATTACTCTAGATTATTTGTTATCAAACTGTACAGTGGTTAAAGTGGAAACATATTTAAAAACATTTAGATGGTTGAAAGCTAATCTTGTGTATATAACAATGAAACTTAATTTCCTGTTTCCCAATTATCCTTAACCTTTATCTCCTTTAAGGAATTTACATTCCTTTAAAAACTAAATTAATATGGTTTTTTTAATTAGGCAATTATTTCCCGTGGCTAATATTCGCCAGATTTTTCGTAATGCAGTTTATATAAAAAATATAAATAAAAGTCAAAATAAATAAAATTTTCAAAAAAATTATATTTTAAAATAGGTTATTTATATTGTTTATATTGGTTATCACCATGTTTAAATCCCGATGAAGTCTATTATAGATTGAATTGAGATCCTTAAAACCGCATCAAATTTCTGATAGGGCCTACCATTTTATTACAGTTATTAAATGTCTAAATTATTGTTGAAATCGAACATGTTGGAAGGAAGAAGCGTATATTTTATTATTTTAAACATTACGTTCCACTAATAAATTTTCTTGAAGATTTCACTATCCAGCCGTAAAAATATTAGCCTCGCAAAAGCGCCGTTATTGCAAAACCAGCGAATAAATCTATCTAGTTGAAGAAAAGCCCTCTAACCGCACCGTAATGCATTTTATAAGCCTCCGGAAAGGAATTCATCCAAAATGAAAAAGAATGGCGCCTAAGAAAGGAGACGTTCGGGGCGTAATTTATTCAGGCCTGGGGCAGCTCGCCACCTCGGAGCGTCTGAATCACAACTGATTGCGGCAGAATTATACCACTTGTCTTTAGAAGTGGCGCAATTGATCCCGGCGGAGATTGCGCAAGGAGACCGAGGGTGGCCGAACTTTGACGAGGGGTGGCGGAAACACCCGAGCGTAGGGGTGGTGAGAGCGCATCAGTTTGGGTCTTGCCGCGACCGAAGCTTATCACTGAGATCTAGCCGCTTATCTAACCGATGACGCTCTTTTACGTAAATTAAATTTTTGCATCTGAATAAAAATCTATAAAATCTTTGGATAGTAAATAAATTGTAATTAATTACTAAATCTGTTGGAGGGTTGATTGACGATTTTTACTTCAAAGTGAAATAGAATGCAAAGTGTTTGTGTTGTGTAGATGATGACTTCGAGAATGGATGGGTGTTTCTACTTAGTACTTGCTGCTTTGTTGTCTTCAAGCTGGATAAAAGGTAGGACCTTGACCTATAAAGTAAATGATAAATGTATTTGAATCACTAAATAGTTTTAAGTACATTTTAACGTACTTTGTGTGGTTTTAATTAATATTTGCTTTTGTGAAACTATGCACCATAATTAACGCACAATGATAAATTCGTTTTACAACTAAAATACTGTTCGTCATAATACGACTCAACAGTTCAAAAGTCAAAGGATTGTGTCATTAGTTCAAAGATCACAGATTTTGTTAACTGTTAAAGTAGTAAAGGCATAAGTACAAAGTGTAGCCTTACCTTGTGGTTTTGTATGTACTTAAATGTCTACACTTAAACGTAATATTGTAAATTAAATCACTCATGACAATAAGAGCCCAGTTATTCAGTAAGACTGAGCCAAATCTCTTTTTTTAATTTGAATATTATTAACAATAATAGCGCGTACAACTATTGTTTAAATAAGCTAAGTTAAGTTAATAAGTTTCTCCATTATTGTAATAGTAACTACCATGATGTATTTATTTTTAGAAAGTAAAATTTAAACTTCTATATTGAAAAGTTGAGGCGTAAGGGAGATGCCTTGTTAATTACTTACCATAATAATCGGGAATGGTTGAGGATTTCCTGGAGGTAGAAGAGTGACCACCTACGGTTTAAATTTCTTCCAATAGGTATCAATAATTTAACAGAACAAATTTTGATGATTTTCCTTTCCAACAATGAGACTGAACACACATTCAGATATTCTTTGGGTCTAATTTTTATCGTTGTTTATATTAAGGGTGTTATTTTTTTAAAACCTACTTCTTACATAGATATAAAAAATATTCTTCCTCTTTAACTACTAAAAAGAGCATTGATACCAAAAGCCTTGTTTATTTTGAGGTATTTCCCCGCAAAAGTAAAATGAAGCGCGATTATTTAGATTACTTTCATAAAGTCACAAAATTTTTTTTTCGTTGAAACTTTTAAATAATTAACGATAAATCCAAATTAAACTACACGGTCTATTGTCTTCACGCACAAGATAAATATAAAAACATTGTATCTAGAAAGCGTAATTAAAAAAGAACTAATTTAGTTGAATAACCTTCTGTGTTATACATTTTCAAAGCCAGAGCATTATTTTCCATGACATTTTATTTCATTACTATTATACTTTTGCTCGAATACTTGTTGTTCACCTGCAAAAAAGAACAAACATTATGGGAGTGAAATGATATTTTACTACTGATGTTTCCACTATGGACTTTTTTGTAATCTTTAAATATTATATCTTAACAGAGCCAACTCTAAGAATGGTAATTGAATTTATCTGTATTTGTAATCCTTTTAGTTAGTTTTGAAATCCATCGTCACTCATTTCAATTTGATTGCAATATGAAAGCGTGTTTACCGTGTTGAAACGGCGTTTTAATAATTTATTTTTATAATATAAGTACATATTTATGGAATTCGATGCCAACACACAAAAGATAATTATTTCAGTCGTAATAATTGTATAAGAAGTTTTTATTTCAGTTTTACATTAAAATGGTTAGTTTTTACTAATAAATGCTTATAGTTTCGCCAAAATAGGTTCAATGAAATTCATTTATATCATTTTTAAATACCCCTGCAAAAATTTAAGAAGTTAATTTACAGCGATAAAATACTTTGGTCACTATGATTATACTCTAAAAGACTGGTTTTACAGTTAATTTAATACATTAATAATTTCGACGTTAAATCAGTTCAGAAATAGTGAGAATTCTTAATGTTTCTGCAAACTATAATTTTTTTGATAAAAGGATAAAGTTTAGCATAACTGCACAACTAGTTAGATTCCTCAAGTAATATTTCTTTCCAAAATATTGTTTTAAATAAAGTCTATGACAATTTACTTAAGGAGCAGATAAAATATTTTTTTAATATAGAAAATTTGCATCGAACATTTCCCCTTATTTTAGAATATATATTTTTTTACTCAGCCAGACTGGCTTAAAAATGAGATGGTGTGGGTTTGGGCAAAGTTCTCAGTCAGTTTCTTGGAAACCAAAAGCTCTTCTGGGAATGGTAAGGAGTAAAATGTCTCCGGAAGAAATGTGTAAAGAAAGTAATAACTAGGTGGCGGTCGCAGAGGCATCCACAAAATTGAGCGGAGTCATCAAGGGTTTATATTATATTGTTTTGGTCATACTGCAGTAATACCAGTCGTTTTTAATGCATGCGTTGCGGGTCTAAAGTAGCACTTTTACTCTTTAGGAAGTAAAAATTGTTTTTATCCTCTATGGAGTAAAAATCACCTGTTGTCAACTCAGTTGTAAATTTATATTGTAAACAATTGCATGTATCGAAATATGTATCGATTCGTGCTTCGTAATTATTTTAACCTACAGTCTACAGTCTCTTCCCATAGCGTTTTAGCATTGCAGATACATCCATTCCCACACTTAACACGCTCACCTTTACTACTTCCTTCACCACCCCCTACGTCGTGGATCTATTTCCCTCTCTTCCCATAGCATTTTAGGATTGCAGATACATTAATGTAATTGCCAACGACAGTTCCCACACTCTGCATTGCAAGCCTTACTACTTCCTTCACCATTTCCTACGTCATAGACTTGTTTCCTTCCCTTCTCATAGCATTTTTGGATCAAAGATACATAAATCTAACTGCCACAGACGGTTTTCACACTATGCTCATACTTTACAACTTTCTAAGCCATTTCCTACATCGTAGACCTGTTTTCATCACTTTCCATAGCAAGTTAGTATTTTAGATACGTTAATCTAATTGCCACAAACATTCGCCACACTCCGCACTGCTAGCCTTTACTACTTCTTTTACCATTTTCTATGTCGTGGGGATGCTTCCATCCCTTCTCACAGCATTTCAGCATTGCAGATACATTAATCTAACTGCTACAAACGGTTTCCAGTTCCCACACTCCACACTGCTCACCTTACTACTTCCTTCACCTCTTCTTACGTCGAGGACCTGATTCCCTCTCTTCTCATAGAATTTTAAGATTGTAGATACCTCAATCTAATCGTCATAAACAGACCCCACACTCCGGACAGCTCGCCTTGACTACTGACTTCACCACTTCCTACGTCTCGGACCTTATCTCTCCCTTACCATAGCATTTTAGGATTGCAGATCCCTTAATCTAATCCTCATAAACAGTTCCCACACTCAAGACTGCTCGCATTTACTACTTCCTTCACCACTTCCTACGTCACGGACCAGTTTACCTCCCTTCCCATAGCATTTTAGGATTGCAGATACCTTAATATAATCGTCATAAACAGTTCCCACACTCCGGAACGCTCGCCTTTACTACTTCCTTCACCACTTCCTACGTCACGGACCTGTTTTCCTCCCTTCCCATGGAATTTTAGGAATGCAGATACCTTAATCTAATCGTCATAAACAGTTCCCACACTCCGAACTGCTCGCCTTTACAACTACCTTCACCACTTCCTACGTCGCGGAACTGTTTCCCTCCCTTCCCATAGCATCATAGGATTGCAAATACCTTAATCTAATCGTTATAAACAGTTCCCACACTCCGGACTGCTCGCCTTTACTACTTCCTTCATAACTCCCTACGTCACGGACCCGTGTTCCTCCCTTCCCATAGCATCATAGGATTGCAAATACCTTAATGTAATGGTCATAAACAGTTCCCACACTCCGGAATGCTCGCATTTACTACTTCCTTCGCCACATCCTACGCCACGGACCTGTTTCCCTCCCTTTCCATAGCATTTTATGATTCCAGATACCTTAATCTAATCGTCATAAACAGTTCCCACACTCCGGACAGCTCGTCTTAACTACTTCCTTCATCACTTCCTACGTTGCGGACCCGTTCTCCTCTCTTCCCATAGCATTTTATGATTGCAGATACCTTAATCTAATCGTCATAAACAGTTCCCACACTCCGGAATGCTCGCCTTTACTACTTCCTTCACCACTTCCTACCTCACGGACCTGTTTCCCTCCCTTCCCATAGCATCATAGGATTGCAAATACCTTAATATAATGGTCGTAAGCAGTTCCCACACTCCGGACGGCTCGCCTATACTACTTCCTTCATCACTTCCTACGTCACGGACCTGTTTCCCTCCCTTCCCATGGCATCATAGGATTGCAAATACCTTAATATAATGGTCATAAGCAGTTCCCACACTCTGGACAGCTTGCCTTGACTACTTCCTTCATCACTTCCTACGTCGCGGACCCGTTTTCCTCCCTTCCCTTATAATTTTTGGAATGCAGATACCTCAATCTAATCGTCATAAACAGTTTCCACATTCCAGACTGCTCACCTTTAGTACTTCCTTCACCACTTCCTACGTCGCGGACCCATTGTCCTCCCTTCCCATAGAATTTTAGGAATGCAGATACCTAAATCTAATCGTCATAAACAGTTTCCACACTCCAGACTGCTCACCTTTAGTAAATCCTTTAGCACTTCCTACGTCACGGACCTCAAGCTAGTGTCGTCATTTGATTATATTTATGATTCCTACCGTTTCTGTTCTAATATCTGTGGAATAATGCTATCAGCTATTTCTTTATCTACTGCATTCAAAAGTCAACAGCTGATCATATGTCTTTGTTTATGTGTCAAATACTGCTTCCATAAGGATTACATTGAAACTTTGAGACCCAGTGGGGCGGATTCCTGAGAGTTATTTTTAACGCCTTATAGATGTTGGCACTCACCGATATGGTCTTTATCACCATCCAAAATTTGAAAACGATTGATTCAGCCGTCTAGGAGGAGTTTGCGTATTACGAATGCATAAAAGTCGACGTATAAGAGCTTCGCTCGCTTCGCTCGCTCCGCTCAATAAACGGTATCAGCAATCTGACACATAATTTCTCTCATAAGCTTGTCAACAATTTTAAGCGGTGGGAGTAACTATGATAATTTTGTAGGAAAAAATCACAAAGGTTGCAATAACTTTTGAACCGTAATTGTTACAGTAATGGGGGTTGCATTATTTTGTTTAGAATT